AACTTTTTTTTTTTTTTTTTTTCACTTCGGGGGCATAGCCCCCAGCATGCACACCCCCCCCCCTTCACTCGCCTGATCCCGACCCGGGAAGGCCCCCAAAACCGCTCGTACGGACGTACGGACGGCCTGTACATTGTCGGGACTGGTGGGTCCCGAATGAATTCCCGTCACTCGAGAACTTGGATTTGGCCAATTTGTGCACATTAGAGAAAATCGGGAGCAGCGACGAGACGCGGAAAAGACGGGCCGTCTGGGGAGAGCGGCCTATCGGGTAGAAAACGACAAGGGGAGCTGGCAAAAACAGGAGAGACGACTACGAATACGCAAATGCAGAAGACGCAGCTTGTGAACAGGGAAGTGTCAGGAGCAGTCGATGGAACCAAGTACCAAGAGGCCACGAAGAACCAAGTATCAGAAGACGTCGGCGAAATAACCGGCAATTGGACGACGAGAACGCCAGACAGACCAAGGGAAAACAGGAACGTCACCTGGAGCGAAGCCGGAAAAGACGGGAGGAACTAAGATTAGCGGAAAAGCAGGAAAAAGTCGGGGCGTCGATGGAGAATCACTGACAAAATGAAAAGGAGCGGGGATGACGCGAGAAATTCCAAAAGGACCTGGGATGCCCCAGAGGAGTCCTGAACTGAATGGGGTAAATGGTAAAAATAGCCAGGTGGCGCCTGCGGACGGCCCCATCTGGACCATGGGTTAGGATGGGAAAAATACACCAAGCACCGCCACGGCAAGCGCCGGCGAGGGAGGCCGCGGGAAAAGTAGAGCAGTAGCGGCAAGGAGGCCTGGCTGACAATCCGGAATGGTCGGGGACAGCCGGGCCAAGAAAAATAAAGTTCCAGGAGGGCCGCAAGGAAAAAGGGCTGCCCGGGGAAAATCGGAGTAAAAGGGACCTAGACGGGGAGTAGCGGCGGCCAAATGGAGCCCCTAGAGCCGTGGGGGTGCCCAGACTGCAGTCCGAGGCACAACGGCCATGTGCCGGCTGCAAAATCAGACTTTGGGTGGGGTCCAACAGCTAGAAAGAGGGAAAATAGCTGTTGGACACTTGTCCCAGCAGAAATAAAGGAGGAAGGAGAGAAAAGGGGGAAAAAAAGGAGGAAGAAGAGACAGAGAGGGARGAAAAGGTGGAGAAAAAAATGCCGCCAGGTTGGGACTGCAGCAGTAGGGACTGACAGGTCTCAATGATGACCTCATCCCTCCAAGATTTTAGGAGGGCAGTCCGGATTGCAGAGATAAGGCCCTTGGGGCATTATCTCTGCAATATCTAAGTTAAATCAACAAAAATGCAGAAAAATGCTGATGTGAGTTGGCCGGCTATTTTTTTGACCTTAGATCTGAGATCAGATCTTGTAAAGGAGGAGATCTAGCTGTTTTTTATGGGCTGATACAAAACGGCTAGCTCCGGAATGAGGTGGCAGCAAAATGGAGGGAAAACAAAGCAAGGAAAATGACAAAACTGGGAATTTGGCCCAAGGGTTGGGCCAGATTCATCAGAAAGTTGAAAATTGAAGCAAAGGCCTCAATTTTGGAGGTAGGGAGACTTGAAAAGAAGCCGGAGCATTGTGGACCTTGGATCTCAGCCAGATCCAAGGCTGAGATGGATGCCGCCACTTGAAAAATGCAACGGCCTACTCCAAAAGGGCCTACATCTGGAAAAAGACAAGAAAAGGGCCTTTAGGGTCTCAATTTTCACCAAAGGCAGCATTTTGGGCATGGGTACCCAAAAAAGACAGCAGCTTGGGAAGGAAAAGAGGCCGGGGTAGGCCTATGAGTGGTCCGAAGTGGTACCAGCCACTTCGGCTGCATGTACCTGGCCAAAATAGGGCCTAGGTACCTCTAGAGAGGCCAAAACTTGAATTTTGGCCTTGGAGGTACCTCGGCCTACCAAGGGGGCACTTGGAGAGGCCAAGGGGCTAGGCGGTGCACTAGTTCGAGCCTACATAAGCTGGGAGTGCTGCCCGCCACTCTCATTTGAGCATGAGAGATGCCCATGCTGCCAGTTTGAGCCCGTGAGAGCACTAGCGAGAGTAGGGCAAGGAGGAGTGAGCCGGTGCTAGCCTTGAAGCCTGGCTATGGTGTTTTGAGGTAGGAAGGAGGACTAGGAAGCTAGGGGAGGTGGTCCGCCATAGCCCTCAGGCTGTGAGGTTTGGCTGGGGTCCCATTGGCCCTTCTAGAGGGAAGGACTCCACAGCCCTAGTAACAGGAGCTGGCCATAGACTGAGAGGAGAAGTGGAAGAGGAAGGAGAAGAGAAGCCATATCCAAGGAACTAGAACCAAGCTTGGGACTTCATCACCAGGGAACTAGCAAGGAGGTGAGTGGGAAGAGGGGGAAACCTCCTCCTCCTCTTCTTCTTCTTCTTCTTTTTCTTCTTCTTTTTCTTCTTCTTTTTCTTTTTCTTCTTCTCTTCATCCTTCCTCTTCTTCCTCCTCCTCTTTCTTTCTTCTTCTTCTTCTTCTTCTTCTTCTTCTTCTTCTTCTTCTTCTTCTTCTTCTTCTTCTTCTCCTAAGCTTGGTGTGCATCCGGACTTGTGCTTTTCATGAGATTAGGGGTTAGGCATGTTGCGATTCATCTTGTGACACTTCCGTGAAGTTTCCCCTTGGGTAGAAGCTCCCAATCTTGAGTTTTCACTGTTGTAAGTGCTTGTACATGTTGCGATGTCGGTGTAAATACCCTTACAAGGGTATTTACCCTGGGTTTTGCATACGGCAGAAAATAGTTTTGGTTTAAAGTTGAAGTATACCGCGCTAGGCGCGGCCGTGTCTGGGATCTACGTTGACTGGATGGTTGACTAGAGTAAAGAGTGAGTGGGCGCGCAGGTTTAAGGCGCGCGTGATTCTTTTCTGCTGTTGATCATTGGTCGTTTGTTTAATGGTATTATTAATATTTATTTATATATGATTAAGCAGGAATTAGGGGATATGTTCTTTCGATGGATACATTTGACCGAGTCGAGCGCGCGTGCGGAGAACGACCCCGGCGACGGCATCGGCAACGATGGCGCGACTTCGTGCGGTGAGCGGGGTGTCGTAGGATGGTGCGCGAGGCAATTACGGCACGGTATAAGCAGTTGGCGCGGGCACTGGGATCCGCGCAGCCGGTTGTTGGCCCATAGCGCCGCACCGTACTGCCTTGTATGGTAGTCCGCGGGTGTTGGT